GTGGTAGTGGTAGTGGTAGTGGTAGTGGTAGTGGTAGTGGTAGTGGTAGTGGTAGTGGTAGTGGTGGTAGTAGTAGTGGTGGTAGTAGTGGTAGTAGTAGTAGTAGTAGTAGTAGTAGTATTGGTAGTAGTAGTCGTGGTAGTAGTGGTAGTAGTGGTAGCGGTAGTGATAGTGGTAAATGTAGTGGTGGTGGTAGTGGCCAGCAGCTCTGCGATCAGCAACTGTTGTTTCGCTATGTGTTCTCGTCTCAGGGCTCCGTTCACTACACAAGAAGACTGATTGCGTAAGTAGTACGTGGCATTGCGTCGACATCTAGCGTTCTTGTGACTGCAGTTGCCCTTGGGATATCACCTGGAGTCCTTAACCATGCCTTCTCTCACATGAGTGTGAACTTCGAGGGCCCGACCCGAGCATTCACGACATTGTCGTAGGTCTCGCAGGCACAGATCCAGGGGACGATAGATAAGCAAGTTGGAGTTCACAGTTACGGCATTCCCTTCGCGGGGCGGGCCTGATGCCCAAAAGGATCCTAGACCGAAACCAAGACTTCTCATCCGTGTTTACCCCTGAAACACGGAACGTCTGCACTCACCACCCAGCTCCTAACGCAAGCCTGAAGCCACAAGCCGAAACGTGCAACTTGTCAAGCCTCGAAGGGCCGCAGGCACCAGCAGAAGCCGGGCCGCAGGGGCCCCATCTCAGTTCGCGCAGTAGGTGAGCTCTGATACACTCGGCTCCATCTTCAGTTATGAGGGTGGTGCGGTGACACTGACGCCGGCAGGGGGTGAAAATACGAACGGAACATCCAACACTCAAAGCCCAAGCACGAGGACAGAAACATTGTTCTACCTCGTCAGACAACATCTCACACCATCTGGACCGAAGTGAGTTGTGCCTTGTTTGGTTTCGGATTCAGCTGTTCTTCAAGACTCAAGACACTCGAGTTCACAACAGTTCACTGTGATCAGAAGCCCCTGACACGTCGACGGATATCCCCAATTCCCAAACCAAAAGTGCCCGAAATGCCGAACCACACACTAACGCCAACTCCTCGCAGATACAATGTGGTATGGTATGATTTGACGTGCTATGATGTGGTCTGATATACACACGTACGAACAAATAGAATTTACAGGCATACAGACATACATCCGTATATACCTATGTACGTAGAGACAGAGATAAATTTGCAAGCGTGCACAGGTGCATGCGTGTGTATGCATATACATACATATACATACATGAACACATTCACGTACAGACATACAGACATGCAGTCACACTGTATTCTACCGCTCCTACCTCGAACCCACCTTGACTGGAAGAAAGCTCTGAAGCTCACATGTCGTCAACACCGACAGCCTGAGATTTAGATGAGTTTGCAGAGAGTTCAACGCATAATCAAGCGTTAACTGAACTCAATGTTTCTGAAAGCTGCCGTGTCTTAGTTCTGAACCTGACAGGTCCTTCATTTGCCCTTACTTCTGAACGTCGCCGTGAGAATCCGCAACACGGTTCAAAAAAAGCAAAGTTCACGGCTGCAGCTTCGCGTGACGAACACAAACAGATGCAGGCTCTGTGTGGACACTGCTGCAGCCACTCGTGCTACTGATAACTTACTGACACTTTTGCTAGTGCTGGTGCTGGTGCTGGTGCTGGTGTTGGTGCTGGAGAGAAGCTGCAGGTGCTGGTGCACTGTGAACCGCTTTTCTCCACAACCCCATTGCTGCTTTTCGGGCTCACACCGCACCTGCGTCAAGACAGGGTGCGACCTTTTCGCCGCACCATCTTCGGAGCGAGGGACGACTGTCTACAAACGAGCCCATGGAGGGAAAACTCGAGGTACAGATAGTTTAATTCTCGTCAGAGGCTCTGCTCCGCCGAGTGCCGCATGGCCCTGACAGCCTCAAGCCGTGACCCATGGAGCGAGAATGCAGACCAGGCAGAGAGGGAAACTGCAGAGACCAGGCCCGACACGACCTTGGCTTCCACTCTCGAAACGTCCAGGGGGTTGTAGGTCTGGCTTCCGGTTAGAGCGAAGCTTCTTCTTCCTCTAACTGCTGTGTCTAACGTCGCAGCTCCCTGAGCGCAGAACCACCGGCAACGTTGCACAGGTCCACCACAGCCTGAGTCACAGTCACCACACCGCAGCCGTAGTAAGATTTTGTCTAGCCCAGTCCATTCGTCAACGCTGCGCATGAAACAACCTTCCTGCCACCAAGGAGCTTCGATGTGAGGTGCTGGGTGCTGCCATCTGACTCAATGTAGCCTATGCTCAGGGCACCCGCAATTAAAAACACGGCGCCCGAACAAGGGCGACCAGAAGGCACCCAAGAAAAGCTGCATACGTTGATTCCAAGCGGATCCCACACGTCTTAGCCCCAATGCCTCCGGCTGCCAGCACTGCACTTCCAGTGACGGGTCCCAGAGAGTTCAGCGGCTTCACCAGGGCCGCTCGGAGCATCCAGTACTTACCAGCCTGGCGCACTCATGGAATGGAGAGAATGTAAAGCCATGGAACAGGGCCCAGTCTTTGTGAAAGGGCCAAGGTTCGCCACTGCAATGATGCTGCTCCGCACAGGGGAGTGACTCATCCTCGCCTCGTCGACCGCTGCTGCGCTCTTTGGGGCATCAGCAGCCCTCCTTTCACACACCAACACGATTGCAGGCATAAGTCAGATTCAAAACCTGACCGTGTCTTGACATGGCTGACAGCAGAACTATGAGCCTGAACAATACATCGTTATCATCATGATGCTGAGCAAGAGAGATGCGTCAGCAATATGAGTTTGCAAGAGTCGAAGGCCAAGAAGCACACTGCGATCACTTCGACCAGCATCTGATATTCATCTCACTGGCATTACAGCAGGTGCAGGCAACAGGTGCCGCACTCAGACTCACAGCCGCCTGAACCTAACCCTGGCAATGGTCAGAAATGAAACAAGATCCAAGACGCGCATCCATCACTGCTTAGTCTGGTATTCCCGTATATTGGCATCCTCAGCCGAAGTAGTTGCTTTCAAGGCCAAGGGTCTGCGCAATCTCTTTGGCGGTCTTCAAGGGAACGTCCGCAGAGCCTTTCTCCCGAGCCTCTTCGGCAACCAGGCTGTGCTCCTGCGAGGGGCAAGGCCGGGCTATAGAGCTTCGAAGAAGGACCCCCAATGCCCCCCATCTACAAGAACCCCCACATGAATGCGCTCCCTGTTTGAGAGCACATGGTTTTGGAACCCTGGCGCGTGAGTTTTGAACTCGTCGTTCGTTGCCGGCAACTCCGATTGCAAGAACAAGCATCAACCAGCACTCTTCCGGGGGTACAACAGCCACACCGATGACAATGCCTAAGATGCTACATTTGCAGGATCTCTTGCGAAGCTCTGGGCACTCAAGCTCACTACTGCAATTCCGACTGGAATACCGAAACGCCTGAATGCTCCTGTATCACCGAGGCGAAGACAATGCCACCCAAGGAGGTAGCAGGCCGTGTAGCAGCGCGGCATGCTACCATCAGCAGGCCGAGAAGAAGAGACCTCAGCCAGGGCCCAAATCTTGAAAACTGCCTTGCAGAAACTCCTATCGCGCCGTAGTGCCACTTGAACCTCTAGACTTTCTTAACTCTACACCCCCAGCAAAACGACAGAAGCATCTCATCGCATCAACCATGCCAATATTACCACGAACGAGCGCTGAAACTGAAGAGGCATAGATGTTGAGAACAACAAATCGGTCGTCACTATCACACGACTGGCACGACCCATAATACTCGATGGCGAGGGGCAGAAGCAGATTGGACCTGAAATCGTCGCCACTCTGACTCTCTGCCTCGTGGCTGTTTGCGGTTCGTGGCTTGAGTGTGTGGAACTTCCGGGCTCATGGCAAGTCATACTCAGTCTGGACTTGGAATTCACGGATCCCGAAAACTCCAACCCTCGGTAACTCTCACTGACAGTTCGGACAACCCATTCAAGGAGAACTTTGACCGAACCCCCACATTCCCACACGGGCGCCCCTGCGATTCCCATGCAGCCGCCTGTGAGGTTATGCAGGACAGTCCAAGCACGGAAGCTGCCACCACGCAAACCTAAGCGAGAGGCTGTTTGAAATGCTACTGGCGGTGAGCAGTCTTACCAAAGCCAAGGGCCCAAGGGCTATGACCGAAGGCATTGCATTTGCGGCTGTGTTTGAGTGCGCGCTATACGCGTCAACACCAAGTCTAAATTTGCTGATTTCGAACTACGTGCAAATAGCCACTCTTTGCCAAGTAACGCACATTCGAACTTTCAGGGCCACCAAACTGACGCCGTAGATGCCCATGTGGGGCCTCAGGCTGAAGGTTCTGTGGGGAAGTTCTGGGATTCTTCCGTGTTGTCTCTTCCGCGCCTCTCCGCCACCCACGTCAAAGCAAACGACAGCGTGCCACAGAGAGGATCGCAAACAACCAGCAGTAGCTTTGAAGCCCAGGGCAACGAAGTCAACAGCACGCGTATCAGCACGACCTGACAGTCCAGTTCCGTAGCGCGACCAACGCCCAATGGCTAAGCACATCAGCTCCGACTCCGGGTGCTAGCGACTTAGCGCGCTGAAGCCTCACACGCCTATATGGAGGAAAGAGATGAGCACGGACCCCAACCCAAGTACCAAAGCACCCATGTGAAGCCAAAGGGCATCAAACTGTCGGAAGAAGACTACCTCGGCCTCAAGCGCTGCAGTCAGGAGGACATAGCGCCAGAAGTTCCGATGCTTCCGCACCATGCCTTTGGGGTTTAGGGCAGTTTAGGGCTCAACTATTTGGCGACACTCTCATGGACCAATGTTCCCTCTCTCTTCTGCAGCTAACTAGGAGCGAGCATGCACGTGCATGCATGGTCCCGCGTGAAGTCGCGCACTGGTTTAGTTTGGGTCGGAGTGAAAACTCGACAGTCACCCTTGCCTTGTTGTCGTGTTGCCCCGTCACAACCCAACCTCAACCCGTCTGCAAGCTAGGGCTCTGGCCCTTCCCTCTCTCTCGCTGTCTTCTTCCACACTCCCCCCCTCTCTTCTTCCTTCGGGCGTAAGGGGAGTGCGAGTCCCCTCGGCCCTTAGGGCCCCCCAATGTTTGTGGGGCTTTGGAGGCAGTGGGCAACCACGCGGACAACTACACTCTCTCTCTCTCTCTCTCTTGCTTTGGCCAGGGCAGGGGTGGAGTGACCCCCCTCTTTCTCGGGAGAGGCATTCTGTCAAGAAGCTTCGACCGTTAAAGCGAGCCCAGGTGCCAAGGAAAGGCCTCAGGCGCTGCCAGAAAGTTTCTCCTCCGCTGCGCCGGCCCTTGGCGCCCACCTTGGCGCCCATCGTGGCCGAGTTTCGGAGCCCTTTCACGGCCATTGCGGTGGTTAGGACGGAGAGCAGGCAGACAATGGTCAGGTAGCTCCGGAAGGGCCCGCAGCTTGCGGGCCTTGCATCCCAGAGAAAGTAGGCACAAGCCATGACAAGCCACTCGCAGCAGCCGAAAATGGAATTGATCCGCTGGATCTGGATCCTCTGGCGATCTTCCTCTGTCTGCTCGATGATCACAAGGCCGTTGACAGCGCTTGCCACGGCCGCAAAACCATCTGAGGAGCTGATGGCCAGGGCGTAGTGGAGCCAAACGGGCAAAGAGAGATCCTGAAACGCGAACCAGGAGGCCACCGCGTAGCCGACGTGGGCCCAAAATGCGAGCTGAAGCCGAGAGCCGAAGCCTCGCTGCACCCACTCGTCCACCAACAAACCCGCAAAGATGTCGTTCAAAGGGTTCCAGACCGAAAAGAAACTGTGCACCGCTGCGACCTCCAGGGCAGTAAGGCCTCGCTGCATGAAGAAATCCATATGAAACGTACCGAACATCATGGAATGCACGCAGCCCAGTGTAGTGAGCAGGTTGAACCAAACCCCTTGTAAGAGCCACTCGTCGTCGATAAACACCTGTGTGAAGGCATGCAATACACTTTGGCGGGAGGCAAGGGAAGGTCTGCCCATGTCTGGTCCGCGACGCATGCATTAGGCGCAATACATGCGCATGTCAACGAAGCACTAGTTTGTCACCGTGACGTATGATAAAGGATCAAACTGAACTGGCGTCTATGGGAAACTTCTTCCGGCTGGGCAACAGATGCTAGATATCCTTAGTATACACTGCCAGTGCTCATACTGGTGCGAGTACTGATGCTACTGCTATTACTATCACGATCACGATCATTTGCACAAGTACGATGGCTTGCGCTGCTCGATTATGACAAAAGTTGCGATTACGATGACTATCACTAGTGCTTGTTTACTTTACTCTTACAATTATGGGTACGCCGCTCATATCTCTTCTGGCACTTGTTAAAGATGAACTCAAGAAGTAGTGCCAGGAGTTAGCAGGCCCATCCTTGAGCCAGATAATGCTGCCAGCTGCTATCGATCAACCAGGATATTTTGTGGCGCTTGCAGAAGGCCCCTGACACCCCACAACCGGCCCCCGAACTCTAGCCATGAGGGTCTTGCAACACGCTGAAGGCTGGAGAAGGAACGACAACAACAGCTACCACCACAACCACATACACACTCCCAAACATGACACGACGACAAGCGCCACCGCCGCCGCAGCCGCTGCCACCACCACCACCACCACCACCACCACCTCACCACCTCCACCACCACGAAGTCACTACCACAGCAGCAGCAAGAACAAGAATTATCATCAATTATTTGTTGCCGGCGTTGATGGTTCTACTATGACGATGATGGCTGTAAATGGTCATACGAATATCACTTTAATTCACAGCACATCCACAGGTGCACCAGCAGCAACAGCAAAAGTCTCGGCTATTCAGCTAATGCAAAGACTAGCACAAGACTGAGAACCATTAAGCGATGTTGATGATTAACATCAGCATGGAGGGACTCGGATGGCAAGGTCGCAGTGAAGGGAACGGCCATGTTGCACTTCAAGGTGCATTCATCGAGCATCTTGGGGCTGGTATGCTAACTTCGAAACACTTTTGCCCAGAGGCCCAACTGACCCTGGGAGCATCGCTGCCCCTTCTGTGCAAGCTGAGATTGTCACCCACAGAAGTGTGGCCGGTAGTGGGATAAGCGCCACCCCGATGGACATCAGGGTAACTACGAGCACCACACCTGCATTCAGGATACTCGCAGCCTGTCCAGAGAGCTTCTGTGTTGTGTAACAACCAAACTGTCCCACCTCCGAGCTTCTGGAAGATGGTCAGGGTGCAGAAGACCAAGAAGATGGAGCAGCCCGCCGTTGTGGCGGCACTCCTGCGACCGTCTCAGTCTCACTCTACTCCCTGCATGAAGCTCACGTATCTTCCTGGGACGTATCTACAAAAATAGGCAAGAACCAGGTGTAAATTCTCGGAACACTCAGGATGCAAGGGCACACAAACAAAAAAACAAACAAGCCAAGCAAGCAAGCAAACAAGCAAGCAGCAACACACACTAGTCTGCGATTACACACATCTGCACATCTGTATTTCTGCATGCATGCATCGTTGTCAGATAATTAACTCTCTGTGCTGACTTAAACCATCGACACGCACAGGTGCATGCAAGAAGATACGGCTCAAGCATTCCAGCTACTAGTAACCCTGCTGCCGGTCAGACACAAGCATACTTACCAACCTGTGCATCGCAGCCCATCATTCGCAGCTTATCAGAGACTTGATCTACCAAGCAAGACCCTTGTCATCGGCATTACGCCGCCGGTCCACCGTAAACCTATTGCCTTTGACTTCCCTTCCCAGCAAACCGCTGAGAGTGGCGGACCCCAGCGCAGCCCGGCCAATGGAGCCGAGGGCGTAGACCGTGCGCACGAAGCGCGTGACGTCCGCATCCCTGAGAAGCGCCGTGCAGCTGATCGGCTACATCTGAGCGCATGGGGCCCTAAACTTCGAGCTTCTTTCCGGCGAAGGGGATGTTGAAACCATTTTCTAAAGGCACGTGGACTGGAATTTGGAACACCGAAGCTCTCTCTCTTGATGGCAAGATGGTAATGGAGTGGAGACCGGCTAAACCTGGCACTACGAGTAGCCTGACGAGTAACAATGCTACCTAAAACAAAAAGATGTCAACTCTACTCGCTTCAAGAGGTATTGCAGGTGGCCGAGCTCCCGGCGTCACATCAATAAGCGCATCCTGTGCATCGGTGCTGCCATACCTGCCGACATAAGTCGCTGTGAAGGCTTGGGGCTGTCAACGGTCCCTGAGGCCTGGCGAATGTTCAGACACAGTATCCAAGTGTGCGAAACCTGTTGACCTTGAGACTGCCTTCGACTCAGTTCACGCCAATCTCTTGTAATTCTGCCACGCCACCGGTTCCTTGCATTGCATGCGAGCGAACACTGGCCTAGAACGTTAAGCTTGCTTGGTTGCGAGAATGCCGTCGACGAAAAGGGACAGACTGGATCTATTCACAGCAAAAGCGCGCCTGTGAGCGATGTGCAAGGAGTATGTCACCGCCTCAACATAATACATGAGAGAACAGCTTCACAAGATGTGGGCTAGAGCAACTCCTCGCAACGTCCACAACTGTTCAAGAGCAAAACTTATAAGCTTCAAAAGCAGGATCCAGGCATAGCCAATGAAGACGATGAGCGCGATCACTTCGATGGCTCCAATCCTGCTTGCAGCAGGGTCAAATTCTGGGAACCACCTTGTGCAAGGACACGGATGAAAGTTGTGGCACCCGAGAGTATCGCGCTTCGCTCAGCCACCTTTACTTGGTCATCATTACGGGTGCGGACTCTCGCTTGAACTCAAGCAGTATCTGAACACAGATTGCATGTCGAAACAGAGAGTCCACCCGAGGCTAGCCGAAACCTCTCTGGGTGCCAAAGCCGAGGGCCGGGCGGCCAGCCCATGACGACCACGATGAACCAGAAAAGAATGCAGACCACCTCGTGCAAAAAGAGAGGTGGGGCACAAGCTGAGGAGCCCAGCACACCCTATGAGCCAAAACTCCTGGAGGCCCCGAAGATGGAGATCTTCAGGCCTTGAAAGGCTTCTGAGACCCGAGCCAACATGGTTGATGCCACCACTAGCATCGACAGCTTCCAGTCCCGGGTGAAGACCTGTCATGGCGGGGTACGTGTTTGGCTATCGAGCTGCTTGGAGAATTTGCACTCCAGCTGATAGCTTGCTGCCTGCAGCAACAGAAGCTTTCAGGATAAGGTCAACAAACCAGGAACTGTCTGCATTGTTTTGGCAGTCCATTGCTTCTCTGCGACAAAAAATCTGCTTCTCCAGATGGCAACATGAGAAGCTGGATAGACTAACGCGCCAGGTGCGCCAGCATACCCAGCAGTGCCAGGCCAACCACAATCACCTGGGCAATTGCTGCTGTCTGACAAAGGGCTTGGGAACCAACTCCCTACAAGTACCGGCACGATCGTGCTAGCTCCTCGGTCCGGTGAACTGGCCAACAATCCGGGTGCTCAGGCCTTTTGCGTTCTGCACTCACATCTCCCTCGCTTGTGACCAATCTGCATAGGTCAGAGTGATACCTTCCAGCGCACTGGCAGGTCACTTCGTAGACGGGTGCAGTCTAACGCGCCGGTGCTCGGAACTTGCTGACGAGTCGCAATGGTCAGAATCGTGCTGGAGATAAGTGCCGACTGCGCCTCATGCTGTGCAGCAGGACAGTACGTTAGCAACGCGAACTCCGAGTCCCACATGTTTGCTTCCCTTGGTCTTGCGTGGAGAAGTAAGTGAGTCCATGAGCCGAGAAATCTGAAACTCTGATCGCAAACCCTGCCACCGGCAACCGCCAAGGGTACAGAAGTAATTGAATGATACGTTTCAACTGTACTCTAAAGTACTCCCCGTTATACCCGCTCCCTCAAGATGGCTGGAGCGGCCTCTGCTCGCACCCAGAGGCTGGAGGTATGCCAGGCCTGCAGCTTGAGGGCTGTAGCATGCGGCGGCCAACTCGTCATCAGCCATAACGACCGCGCGCCCAAGGTTAGCAAAATCTAGATGGTTGGCTGGCTGAAACGTAAGAAAAGCAAGCTCTAGCTCCAGGGTGCGGGCTCCCTTGGTGTAGATCGAGGCATCTAAATTGAACTCCTCGAGGTACCTTGCAGAAGGTACTCGGTACTGTCGAAATCAGCCCTCGATGGTTGCTATGGCAAAATGCCATGCTAGATTTCGTGGCATGCCCGGTGCTGCTGATAACACCAGGAAAACACCGAGTCGCTTGTCCCACAGCTTCTTGTACTCAATCGCAGACCTGAGAACTCACAGCTCATACCCACCTCCACAAACATGATGGTCTGCTGCCGCGTGCATCTGTTCTGAGGGCCAGAACAAAGATGCACATACCCAACTCAGCATGCAGAATTGTTGTAAAGCTCGATAAGACCCCTGCGTGGTGTCAGCATAGCGCTCGAAGTCCACGCTCATCAGCATGTACGATGCTTTCACCTGCCGGCTCGCTCCAGATGCCGATAAAGACTTGTCAAGATTCACGGCCGGCCCACTCTGTACATTGAGTGCTTTCGGCTAAGAACCTACTGATTGTGCAGCATTCTACAGAGAGCCGGAGCTGCCTTGCCGTCGCGAATCCACATGTAGTCCTGGCCATGAAGAGGGTGGCGTGGCTAGGCACTTTCAGTTTCGAGAGCTGCACCACTCCCTGTCCCAGTCCTTCGTGCTGTGCATGCCCGTGAGCCAGGACTGCAGAACGGGGCATTTGCGAGTTTCGCGCTGTCAGCTTAGGCCACTCTGACGTTCAAGCTACCACAACCGTGCACGAGCCCCCGCAGGCGTCAGCATGATGAGTGTAGCAGATCGACGCGAAATCAAAACCGTCAGATGTGCGATGTGGGGCCTCAGCAAAGGGAATGATCTGCCTCGGACGGGTGCAGTGGCAGGATCTGCTCGTCTTGCACTTCAAGTGCCATCCACCCTCGAGGATCGCTTGGGCGCAGGCTGTTCAAACTGCGACGGGATGATGGGGAATCGATCTCCACCTCTGCAGCTCTTGTGGAAAGACGGGCTGTGAAACACAATTGACTCAACGCATGCCGCTAGAGAAGTCATGCTGCTGCCTGCTGTGAAATCACTCACTTTGTGCACCGTTCCAGTAAACTCAACTGCTAAAATGATTGGTCTTCTGCCTCGAGCCACTACTAGTTACTACTCCTGGGATTAGTGCTTGCACCATATGACCTGAAAACAGCCCGGACCTGAGAGAAGCAAGGAAAAGACGACAACTGCAGATTCTGTAGTTCTCTTCTGTGTATATGTATATACCCTGCTCCCACTTTCAATGTAAGCAGAAGCGTCTTGGAGATCCCCATGAAAGAAACCGTAGTCAAAATAACAAAAGACCAAAAGTAGCTAAAAACCTTCAAGGCCTTAAAGTATGTGTGCACGGTGCGTGTGTGTGTGTGTGTGTGTGTCCCTGGGCAGGGCAAGCACGGTTGGAGGAGAACCCTACCCCAATCATATGCTAAGCACGCGGCGATTCAGCAGGTAGGCCCGGAAGTCCTCCATCCAGCACCTTGGCTACACTCAGGCCAGGCCGGCTTGAAAAGTACCAGTCATGTCGCAACTGTGGCCTTGTCTCTTTTTGACTTGTGTGCAATGAAACCCCACACGCTTCGGTACGAAGCGATGCTCAACCGCTCTTCCGGGCGGCCCAGCCTGCGCTCCACAACACGGAGTTCCCGCGGCATGCTGGTGCAAAAACTGTACCTGCAATAGAGCTTCCCGTGCAAGCAAGCACCTTAACTACTCGGCCCTCATCTTCACAGGATACTAGCGACTTGTGGAGACGAAGGTGGCAACTTCATGCGTTGGGTCAACTACCGTGCTTCAGGCGTCTAGGACTGATGCCAAGGATTTCTCTTGGTCCCAGGAAAGCTATGCATGACTGTCGGCAAGGTCCCGCCCTGTCCACCACATGCCTCGCTAGGCTACACGGAACTCGCAAAGAACGATGAGAGTTGAACTAATCCACCCAGTCGTCCCCCAGTCGAAAGTGGTACTAGTAGGGGGGGCACATGTTGCGCTGCGCCCATGGCTGGCTCACCTTCCGACAGCCGAGCAGCACATGCACTCTGCGGTACAAGCGAAAAAACAAACCTGATCAATGAGACATGGATTTCCACTCACAGGAATGCAAAGTAGGACAAACAAACCCCAAACAAACAAACATTTTGGGCACCGACAAAGAATCAAGCAAGCAAGCAAGCAAGCAAACAAACAAACAAACGAACACAATGAGACACACACGAGCAAACAAACAAGTGGACGAGCTAAGAAGAAAGTAACTGATGAGCCCCAACAAACTAGGGAAAGCTTCCAACCAACTGAGTAAAAGCTTGAGAACAAGCAAGCGGGTAGCAACAGTCAAGCAAAGTCGCAAGTTCATAACGAGGTCAAACAGTAAGTGCATACCCCAATATGTATCCAGCTGCGTGAAGAGAAGATAAGCGGATACATGCGGCTATACACATGCAGCTTGGTCTCCAGTATATTGTTCGATCCAGTCTGCTCAATTTGTGTGCTGATGGCGAAGTGCCACTATGACCCTGCTGGCAACCATAACAGGCTGTGCACCGTGCAGGTGTCCCCGACTGAACTTGAGTGGTCGTGAGTTGTACCAGAACCATGTGCAGCCAATTCCTAACTTTTTAGCGTTGGTCAAACATCCGTCCTAACCATGACTCACTTTTGTTTTGTGCTCATTGACTGCAGCCGCTATTTGACCCCATCGATGCTTCCTTGGCTCGTGTATGTTCACACGCTGACAACTCACAGAAACGATTGAGCGAAAGGTCCGACTGCCTGGTGTAACTCTGCGAATTGCCAGCCGTTCTCCAAATCAACCTGCACAGATTTGCCACGTAGACCTCTCTGCTTGCACTCAGCTAAACTAGACAGTTGCTGCATCTGCATCACAAACAGCCGCAAAGACAGCTTTTGGAGAAGAAGTTCGGATGCAGGATGTAAGGTTTCGCTGCCTCAAATCTTATGAATGCCGGCACACTGCCCCGGCAAAGCCTCCCCCAAGAGTTTGGCCGACGTGGTGACCTGACAGCTTTCTAGATCACACTGAGCCCTAACGTTGAATCCTGATCCCTATTCTCTCAACCCTGAGTTACACCCTCAAGCCCTATGACTCCCAGAGGTCCACTCCATGAATCTACGAAGATTTCCGGCTGCAGCTTCAGGCTATTGGACAGGGCACAGCGAGATGCGCCTCAATCCCGAAGATAATATCGATGGCGGCTCGGTTTGCAGGCCTTCAGCATGATGCTTTCTTGGGGATCGGGAGCGCTAGGTGCTTGAAAGAATGGGACATCGGGGTGTTTCACTGAGGACTACGTATACATGAAGCTCAGCACTGAAACATTCTCATAAGCATGACCATTTCCTCTGAGTAGGGACTTGGGTGCGAAAGTTGCAAGGAGCCGGGCGACTTGAGTTCTTCTGGGTTGCAGACGCGACAGTCCATTCCGATGGACCTAGGCCGACACTTTGGAATCATCATGTGTCAAACCATACGTATGACTGTGACTTGCATAGGTAGCTGCGCATCAATGCACATATGTGAGTATAACGCGTATTCTGTTTCCGTGTTTGTACCATCTGAGAGCATCTGTTTTAATTTGTACCTGTAATGTTCATATCTACACATGTACTCATCTGCAGTATGCTCTGGCCATGCAAGTCCAGTAGCGCATCGCGCAGCTTGCAATCCCCGAAGTCGGTCCGTGTTGTTTCTTCCTTTCGCGTGCCTGTGCACACATACATTACCTAGCGTGCTTTCGACGATGTTTGTCAATATATGTAAGCATGCATGCAGGCAAGCGTGTGTATGTGCATGTGCATGTGACCGTACATTTGCATGCGCCTGTGTGCGTGTGTGCGTGTGTGTGTGTGTGTGTTGATATATATATATATATGCATGCAGGTATTTATGCAAGTATGCATGTGTGCTTGCATGCATTTACGCATTTATGCATTAATGCAGGTATGTGTGTATGTATGTAGGTATGTATGTATGTATGTATGCATGTTCGCATGTATGTATGTGTGTGTGTCTATGCATGTATGTATGTAGATACATATTTACAAAAAAATGTACCTATACATATACATATACATATACATATGTACGACTGTATGTAGGAATGTAGGAAAGTGTGTGCGAATGTATGTACGTATGTATGTATGTATGCATGTACGTATGTACCTATGTACGTATGTACGTACGTACGTACGTATGTATGTATGTACGTATGTATGTATGTATGTATGTATGTGTGCATGCATGTATGTATGATCACGCGTGCGTATGTGTGTGTACAAACGAATCTATATGAAGAAAACAACCAAACAAACACACAAACATGGTCTGAAGCAATGAAGATCATGCTGTGAGCAAGGTATATGTACATACATGTGTGTATGTATATATACATACATGCATGCATACATACATACATCCATGCATGTATGCATACATACGTGCATACATATATATATATATACATATATATATATATATGTATGCAAATATGTATACATATATATATATATGTAGATGTGAATGTGTCTGTCTGTCTGTCTGTCTGTCTGTCTGTCTGTCGGTGGGTCGGTCGGTCGGTCGGTCGGTCTGTCTTTCTGTCGGTCTGTCGGTCTGTCGGTCTGTCTGCAAGGATGGACATATGTAATATGTATGTGCAATTCTCATATATGCACCTGAACACAAACATTCGCATGGAAGCACATCCTGTAATTTCTGTGCTGACCTTCAACAGTCTTCCTATCTATGTCTACAGTCAGCTAGAGATTGAAGCTGAACACGACATGCCGTGGCCAGGGTCCAGGCTCAGGTTCTGCAGCCAGCGCGGCTGCGCACTAGCTTCCTCCGAAGGTGCGGCTTGGACTTACGCTTAGGCTCTCGCATCCGAGACAGTCTCTGGTTGGACCAAAAGGGCAAGCGCAGCATTGAGTGTTGGGTGTCCTGCGTGTCTTAAGCAGCACCACAAAGGCTCAGATGTGAGTGTACCGTGGATGGATGCTGCAAAGAGGTTTCTACATGACCTTCACACCAAGCCAACAATCTGCAAAATACAGACCTTCGCAAAACTACAGGAAGTCCTGAACATCTCCACATGTGTCGCTATCTCTAGAGGATTGCTTCTCCGTTAAACTGTACGACTGTACGCCTTGGAGCTCAGTCATGACTCCAAAGCTGCATGAACGAACACACACACACACACTCGATCACACATATACACATGCATACATGCATTCTTTCTTTGACTACGTTGAAAACGCAGATGCAGGCACAAGCTCCAGTGCCTCGCCGAAGTCTGCCTCGGTCCGAGGGCTCCGAACCAGCGGTCCAGCCAGCAGCGCCTGAATGCGGAAGCTAAAGGAGGCTGTGGTAATGGCGCAATCCACTAGCAACTTTGGAACTAGTGTGGCAACTGATGAAATAGCGGTAGTAGCAGCAGCAGCCGCAGCAGTAGCAGGAGCTGCAGCAGCTGCAGTAGGAGGAGTATGAGTAGAAGTAGGAGTAGGAGTAGGAGTAGGAGGAGGAGTAAGTTGTCGTCGTAGTACTAGTAGTAGTAGTAGTAGTAGTAGTAGTGGTAGTAGCAGTGGTAGTCGTAGTCGTAGTCGTAGTCGTGGTCGTAGTCGTGGTCGTAGTCGTCAGT